TATAATCATGTATCTCCCCTCCTGCGTTCCCCGGGAAAACAGGTTTAAACCTCAACGCTCCCAATAATTGAAGTTTTTTTTATCTCGTTTATGCGCGCCGTGAAGGTTCTCCCGTACTTTTTCTAGTCCCAATTCACCTGCCTTGAAAGGTCTGAGGGGTGCGCAATTTCCAGCCCCAGTGAACAAGTGACCTGAGATGTCATCATTTCCTGGCTCCCTAGTTTTTGGGGGATTTCCCTTATCCATCCTGACATTTTCTAGGCCGATGCATTGATACAATTTATGCTTCTGAAGTTTAGATCCCCGACATGATCACTCCCAGGTCTTTGACGTTGGTGGTTCGCTCTATTTTGTGGCCAAATTTGTTTGGTACTCTGATGAGATTAATTTCCTCGGGTTTACCATATCTGGTAGTAAAAATTTCCCATCGTTGAACTCATATTGTTTTCGCAGCCCAATGAAAGATTTGGTTGAAATTTCCCCTTTGGAGCCTGCGTGTCTGCAATGTCTGTTCCGGAGCCTTGCAGTGTCTGCAATGGAGACACTGTCATGCAGATTCGGGTTCATCTGCAAAGGAAGACCCGTGCTGTGGCTGACATCCTTGTCTAGCAGATATGAGGTGAGAACAGATGGGGCGAGTACTGTGCCTGTGGGAACACTGGGAGCGAAGTACTGGCCTTGTGGAACACTGGGGGCCAGTACTGTTGCCTTAGGAACACTGGGACGAGTACTGTGCCTTGTGGAACACTGGGAGCCATACTAGTGCCTATGTGGAACACTGGGAGCGAGTACTGTGCCTTATGGGAAAACTGGAGCGAGTACTGTGCCCTTTTGGAACACTGGAGCCAGACTGTGCCTTTGGGAAAACTGGGAGCCAGTACTGTCCTTGTGGAACACTGGGAGCCAGTACTGTGCCTTGTGAACACTGGAGCCAGTACTGTGCCTTGTGGAACAGAAAACTTTTTACATACCGGGCCGTGGAACACTCGGGCCATACCTTTTTTCCTTTTTTGGGAACAATAAGATCGCCCTTGGAACCACTTTCCAGTATTCCTTTATCAGCATTTGAGCCGCTGTTTCCATGTACACTTGTCAAAGCCTTTTGAAAGTCGTGTAAATTACCATCTGCATTTGTTATCTTCAGCATCCAGACGCTTGTCACTGTGGTCAAACAAATATGTTTACCTAAGTATTTTACAGTGGAGGGTTTACTTATATTGTCAGGCGGGACCACCCGGAAGATCTTTAAAATGGGGCCCAAAAACTTAAACTAAACATTTGAGTCCCTTTAGGAGTACAGGCCAACACCCCCTTTTTGCCTGTTTCCCTCTGTCACATGTATAGGTTGTAACCTAGGATCCATATTTCCTTGTCCAAGTGTCCATGATGCGGGTCCTGTGAGAGCCACCCAACATTGCATTTTGACTCTGTAGTGTAAGCATTCCTCGGATGAAAAGTATTTTGTTGTTCTTGCTGGGCTTTAGACCTTGTATATTTGCAAAGAAGAATGTAATATTGATGGTATATGGGATTCTTTTTTTTTTTACCTGCACTAAAATCTATTGTCTTGGTGTGGAAAGGGCAATTGACTGTGTTCCACTCCAGAAATGACGGAGGTCGTGTACGATTTCTGTCAGATTTTTTTTTAAACCTTCCCGGCACTAAAAACTTCTTTCCCCTTCTCTGGAATGGTTGTGGCACCCAGTTTTCCATGGTCTGGATTTCCCCTGTCTTAAATTTTCCCATAGGTGGTGTGCCCCGAAATATAAATTATACTTTGTCTTCCTGAACTGAAGAGATTACATATTTCAGGATGGAAAAGAATTTCTGGGGGTGTCAAGTTGCACGTCCCATACGTTTCTTCAGATATTCCATGCCGCAGATACCTAAGGCTGGAATTTTCATAGGTCTGATTTCTATTTTGCCTTAGGGGAGCTCTCCATCGGCTTTTTAACGGAGTCACTGGCTTTTTGGGCCTCTTGGGGAGGGTCGATGGTGCTCGTGCAAGTCAGATCCCCGGGCAACTTTCTGCTTTTGCAATGGCTGTCTGCCGAGAGAGACAGGCACCTAGCAACATCTGTTGTTGGGGCAATATGAATTCCTTACTATGTTTGTTTAACTGCTCATTACTCTGTAATTTTTCTAGATTTTAAATTCATGTGATAACGTGTTTATCATTCATTACCTTTGAAACTTGTCATGATTTTGACCACTCTACCTGGACTCCTTTTCCTTTGTAATTCTCATGATTAATGTGTTTTATGATTCATTACCTTTGCAATTATTCCCTGAGTGTGACCACTCTACCTGGAGCTCATTACCTTTGTAACTTGGTCATGAATTATGACCAGATCTAGTTCATTACTTTTTTAACTTGCCAAACTATCAAACTTTGGAGTCCAGTCCCTGGACCAATTATGTACCCTTGTAATATTTGACTACCGCCCACAGAAGGGGGAGTGGGGACACCGCCCACAGGAGGGGAAAGTGGTGACACCGCCCACAGGGTGGGGAGGGTGACTACCGCCCCCAGGAAGGGTATTGGTGACACCGCCCACAGGGTGGGTAAGTGGTACTACCACCCACAGGGTGGGGAGTGGGACTACCGCCCACAGGGGGGTTGTGGGGACTACCGCCCCAGGAAAGGGTATGTGGTGACTACCGCCCACAGGATTGTTGGGGGGACTACCGCCCACAGCATGGTATGGGGTGCATAATAAACATATTAAAATAACTTGTTTTTCCGGGGGTTTTCCCCG